CCAAAAGATGGAGGGAATGGGCCCATGAAATCGATACCCCAAACATCAAAAATTTCACAAATAATAGAGATATGTTGGGGCATCTCATCCCGGGAAGAAATGTTACTTGACCGTTGGCAGCGGTCGCACTGTCGTGCGAAGGTGTCTGCATCCTTGAAGAGCGAGGGCCAATAGAAGCCCCACTGTAGCACCTTCCGTGCCGTGCGGTTTCCTCCATGGTGACCTCCAGTAGGTCCCTCGTGGCATTGAGACAGGATGTCTCCCATCTCGTGCTCCATGACACAGCGCCGGATCACACCGTCTGCTCCGATTCTGAAGAGGTAAGGATCCTCCCAGAAGTAATGCTTCAGATCGGAGAAGAACTTGCGCTTTGCATGAGTAGCCATCCCCTTGGGTAACTGCTTGCCCACCAGATAATTGGCAAAGTCAGAATACCAAGGGGCCACGCTGTCCACCAGTGTCATCGCCAGCAATCGCTCACCCGGGAAGGAGTCGTCGATCTCTTCTACGAATAATCAGATTCTATCTATCTCAGGTTGCAGCAGAAATCAAGAAAAGTTGATCGGACTTCAATCAATTCAATGAATCATGCATCATTCGATTAAAACCAAACTGTATAATTATCCCAAGTCATTACAATCAAATCCCTAACACATGGAACTAGGGTTCTTCATACCCAAGTGAGAGAATGGTTCTACTCCATAGAGAGAGAAGAAAATAGAAATCAGAGTAGTCATACTCATAAAGATGAGGAAAATCTGCTCTGGGATGTCAATCTTCACTCCTGGGGACGCAATCTAGGCTTCAATGGTGAGAAATCCACTCCAAATAGCTCATAGGGTTTGTTCTTCGCTCTTTCTCTCTCTAAAACTCTGTTTTTGCTCCAGAAAATCGATTCTCTCACTTGTGGCTCGGAATTGGGTAAAAACCCAGATTTCCCGACTCACACGGGCAGGCCACACGGCCGTGTGGCTTACCCAGTTGCCCGTGTGGCTTCCAAAACGCTGCGTCTCAATTAATCGAGCTTCAGGCTTCCCACACGGCCAGGGTCACACGGCCGTGTGGAAATTCCACCCTGCCCGTGTTTGCTCTCGGCACAAATCACACGGCCACGAGCATGACTTGCACGGCCGTGTGGGTTCCAGGAATGCCCGTGTGGCTTCCTCAGCACCTCGCCACGCGTCCGATCTTCGTCCAATCGCCCCCAAACTCGCTCCCAAGCCTCCATTCACGTACTAGGACCTGAAATATCACAAACATGCACAACCTAGCGTGAAATCGGCCTAAAACACGAGAAACCACATCTCAAACGGTGTAAGAATAGGGGTAAAACATGTGTAATTAACGGTCTATCATGTACATAGACAAATCTATAAGTGATCAATTCATAGATTGTACCGTGTATAACTCCGACATGACCGCAATTTTCATTTCACACTTGGCTATTTGCCTTAGCCAATGTAACATTACTACAAAAAAGATAGTAATAAAGTAAGATTTGTTTAGGCCATGAAAAATATCATAACCAAATCTCTCAACCATAACATAATTTTGACTCCATAGTGAAACCAATTATGCAAGTTTGCTTTTTAGAGGCCCAATATATGACATCTCCCTTATGCAAGAGGATTCATCTCGAAGTTGAAGTATCACCTTTGACATGAGAAATCCAACTAACATCAATAAATCCTTCCAGAATGGATGGAAAGCCACTATAAACCAATACAATGTATCTTTGCGATATCCTAGTACATTCCTCATTTCATGCCAAATGATGAGCACTAGGATTACTCAAACACCTACTTAATGGTCATACCGCAACGTGATATATAGTTTTATGCAAGTCATTGCATACATCAAGCATCCAATTTAACATGAAATACTCCAGTTGTAAAACTTATTTCCAGTATTAACCATAAGTTCCATACTTGGATCCATTAGGGTCTTTAACTCACGACAATTTTTTTTTACATAGACAGGAAGTAGATCAAAGAGTCACATAGTCAGAGTACAGAACATGACACCGTGCGGAAGTCGACCAATAGTCGAACTTCCGATGAAATGGCTTGTTTTGCCACAAAATGGGCGGCCCTATTTAAGCTACGATTAGCGTACGCGCAAGAGCTGAAGTCAAACTCCTGTGATAGTATGTGAGCATCTTCTAGTAGAACTCGGCGAACCAAGACAGAACTCGGCGAACCACCAATTGGGAATCACCAAAGAATTTGACAGACAAGAAACCCCGAGTTAGACACCAGTTCATAGCATCACGGAGTGCTAAGAGTTCATCGAGGAAAGGGTCTTGGATCCCATCATAAAACTTACCAAGTGCAAAGTGAAGAGCGCCAAGGGAGCCGAATCCGATGAAGCCAATGCTGACTCCATGATCCCTTTTGACAGCTCCATCAAACCGCACCAGAAAGGCGTGGGAAGCAGCAATTGGCGTATTCATTATGCGCGAGACTATTATACCTGACAAGTCTTGGTTGGGCTTGCGCTGGGGTGCTAGGTCTGAAGAGGAGGAAGATCCTGGAGCCGTACCTGCTTCAGCATTGTCTGCTCACCACTCATCTACATGGAATCGGAATTGTCGGAGAAGAGGTGAAGGTAGATATTGTATGCCGCCGTGGACTGCCCAGCATCGCCCTTTCTGTACTCTCCAAGAAAGAAAGACCACCTCTGCTATTTGCAACTTAGAAAGGTGGAGCGAGAAGAACATGGTCTTCCACGCATCATCCATTTGCAAGTTTTCCAAGATGTTACGGACATCTATAGAACCAGCAAGAATCCATAAAGGGTGAGCCACCCTGCAATGGAAAAAGCAATGGTTAAATGTCTTCGGGCCGTCTGAGCTGACATGGCAAGTGGTCGAGGTCACCAAAGTCTTATGTAGTAGGACTGTTTGCAAAGGAAGAAACTTTCTGACCACCCTCCAAAAGAAAATTTTGAGCTTCGGCGGCACTGGAAGATTCCAGAGCAACTTCCAAAACTGTGTAATATCCTGTGGGAGAATAGTGTCATATGAGATGGTCATCTTTCAAATGAAGGGATAGAGCAATGATCAAAATTGCTTGTACCTTCTCACGACAATTCCTACTATGAAATTTTTGCAAGTACCTTCTCATGCAGAAAAATTGAGAGAAGGAAATATTTTTGTCGTTTCGCTTGATTCAATACACATAATCACTTTTCCTCCCCGATGTCCCACATGGGAAATTTTAGATGACAAAAACTTTTTCGTAAAGTCCACCTATCTTTGATTGGTCTCAAAGATAAATATATCATCTACACACAAACATATGACGACTCTATTACCAGTATCATCAAACATTGTATATACATTTTCGTCTCCTTTGCTTAAAATAACATAAATCACTAGACAAAATCACACCATCAAACCACTTAGACAAATCAAAAATTTTCTAAGACTTTGTAAATCTCAAAATAGAGAATCAGATAAATTACACCATTGAGTATGAGACCTACACAAAGGTAATTGTCATTCTCTTATTTCTTTATTATACGAAGCATTCTCCTTCTTCCTCATCTTCAAATCATCCCTCTTCCAAGTTACCTTCCGGATATGGAATACACCATGAGACTTGTACAAAGAAAAGTCATCTTCTACTACAATCGATGAAAAACTCATCATCAAACATTCTCATAATTCTATAGACCGGAATCGGTTTCTTGTAAAGAGCAGTTCGAGCCATCGTACCGGAAACTATTCTTTTCGATTGTTGGGACTTTTGAGACGAGGGTACACGTACGATAGCCCGAGACCGGGTGACCAGGATTGTGATAGAGTCGTAAACAACGTTCATTTTCTAAAAAGAATATTTCCACCCTCTATAAAAGCATTGAGTTACATGAAATTTCTCCCGAGGATAAAACTATCACCATTTTAGGTTCTAGGCTCAAGAACACTAAAGCATACTTTGAAATTTTTGGAAGAAAGAAGAAGAATCTGTTTGATGGTATGTGGCATCAGCCATCCCACACATATATTTGTAGAGTCTGAATCCATACATTGTTTCATGAAAGGTTGCCTTTATCCATTCAAAAGTTTGCATTTATCCATATGAAAGGTTGCATCTATCCATATGAATGGTTGTCCTTATCCATATGAAGGATCTTTATTCATATGAAAGGTTGTCTCTATCCATAAGGTTGTCCTTATCCGTAAGGTCATCCTATCCATAAAATAATGCAACCGCCAATGTGTCCATTCATGAAATTTCAATATTGGTTCGCTCGATCTAATCCCAAACCAGTTGGTCGGTCCAACCAAAAACCGGTTTAACTTGGTTAGTCTGGTTCAACCAAATATCCAACATTTAATACCCGCTAACTTTCAGATGGCGACAACTACCACTACCAGTCTCGGCGGCGGTGACGATCGAACACAATCTCTACCACCAAGCAAACTGAACATTTGTCCGCTATGGGCCTCTACACCAGCACGGATTTCGACTTGGGGTGCAATTTAGGATGACTTTCCATAAGGTCACTCATCCTTGTACTCCACACTGAGCACGTTTAACTTCGGAATTCTCACAAGAACTCCTCCATTACACCCCAAAACGCGTCTTGTCAGTTAAGGTCGTTTTCTTACTTATGAACCATTGATATCTCCCGTGCTTTGTCGATGTGAGATTTGCCTAAAGTGTTACACTAGGCTTTAGGGGTGGCTATACGGTCCGGTCCGGTTAAATTGGACCAAATTGATCCGGTCCTAGTCCGGTTTTTTTTTTGGGAATATAAGGACCAAAGATTGAACTGGATACAGTCCGGTCTTGATTCGGTTCGATTTTGACCCGGTCCGGTCCCAATTTGATTATGATTTTAGATTGAGCTCGTGGGGATTTGAGTGTTGGGGTCTCTTATCTGGTCTTTATCCGGGTTTTTTTTACCTCAAATCTAAGCCCGAATATGAGATTGGATTGTTTGCTATCCGGTCCCAGTCCGATCCCGGTCCGGATTATAGGATCCGGTTTCGAGTAAAACCAAACAGTCCGGACCAAATAGAAATCAAAGAAAAATAGTTTTCCTCGGGCAAACAAGAAGCAGTAAGCAGTACAATTCCCAATTCAACAGAACAACCCTAATTTTACAAATGCTCCCCACCGGGAAAATGCATTGAACCGGAAAGACCCAGAAAAGTTCTCGACTCCGACGAACCTGGAAATGGAGTCGAGCATACTGGAATCGATCGGGGTGGAGATCATCGGAGTAATGTCCCCAGTCTCGATCTGCATGCTTCTGGTAGTTCTGATCGTCTACTCCCTCTGCCCTGCCACCGATTCAGCGCCGCCGATTCGCTCCGCTGCTAACCTCGTTTACCTGGAGGTACCCACCGACTCCACTGTCCAGAAGCTTGAGGGCGCCTTGCTCAATGCCTTGGTTTTCGTCATCATAATTGCCGTCGTCACTTTCCTTCTCGTTCTGCTCTACTACTACAATTGGACCGGATTCTTGAAGAATTACATGCGCTTTTCCGCATTTTTCGTGCTGGGTAGGATAATCTCCCACTTCCCTAGCTTTGATCCTCTGCTCGTTTTGGTGGATTTGATTCTGATTCTTGAGTTTATTCGTTACTGAATCGCCAGGGAGCATGGGGGGCTCGATTTTCCTGTCAATAATTCAGCACTTCTCAGTACCCGTCGATTCAATCACCTGCTTTGTTTTGCTGTTCAATTTTACAATTGTGGGTGTATTATCGGTCTTCTCCAGTGGCATACCAATCTTCTTGAGGCAATCATATATGGTAGCACTGGGAATATTTGTGGCAGCTTGGTTTACGAAGTTACCAGAATGGACTACTTGGACGCTGCTAGTAGCATTAGCAATCTATGATTTGGTTGCAGTTCTGGCACCTGCTGGGCCACTCAAGTTGTTGGTCGAGTTGTCCCAAAGCAGGGACGAGGAGCTACCGGCGCTGATATATGAAGCACGGCCAACTGTTTTAGCCAATTCACGTCATCAAGGCCGGAGCTTGGAGCTTCTGTTTGGTGCAGCTTCACAATCGGGATCAGTGGAGATGCAACCCGTCTCTGGGAACCACATTGGGACTAGGGAAGGTGGCGAGCAGAATGTGCATCCAGAAGTTATTGTATCCGAGTCCACGAATCCAGGGAATTTGGAAGGTCTTCTGCGACAAGGAGATGAAGTTGAGAGGTCTCCACTGGTGGGTGGTGGTTTGGGTGGAAGGTCATCTTCAAGCAGTGTTGGATCAGAGTATTCGGTAGTTGTTGGCAGTCGTGATGCCCCTGAGATTGTTGCAGACGAAGAAAGATCTCCTCTGGTTGAGTCTAGGAGACGTGGCAGTGGGAATGAGAGTGCCGAGAGAGGGATGGATGATGATGGTTCGGAGTCTGAGTTAGCAAGTAGTGGGATTAAGCTGGGTCTAGGAGACTTCATTTTCTACAGTGTCCTTGTTGGTAGGGCTGCAATGTATGATCTAATGACAGTGTATGCATGCTACCTTGCTATTATTTCAGGGCTTGGCTGCACTCTCATTTTGTTGTCGGTCTGCCGTCAAGCTCTGCCGGCTCTCCCGATCTCAATAGCATTGGGAGTCGTCTTTTACTTCTTAACGCGGTTATTGATGGAACCTTTTGTTGTTGGGACAGCAACGAATCTGTTGATGTTCTGAGAGACAAATGAGAAAATGATATTTTCTTTTGGGTTCCACTTGCTAAGCCTACATTAATGTCAATAGGTATGTCTTCTCGAGACTATTCTTCTGCTGATATTATTACTCTTCAAAGAAAAAAACTAACTCTCTGTCGATCTCTTGTATCATGCGAACTTCTCACAATTGAAAAACTTGACCGTAATTCAAGTATCAGGAACGTCAGGTCTAGGTATATAAAGGTGCTGCCTTCTTCTATGCTCGAGTGTTTGTACTTGTCGTAGGTATTCGCCAAATTTAGAATTTCTTCTGTTTAGACTCTGAAGTCCTCGCAGGCAGCAATAGATTCGTGTGGTTATGAAATGGCTATCTCAGTTCATTGAATGATCTGATTAGAAGACCTTTTTCGGAGTCTGGGATCAGTGTTTTGGAGAGGAGACTGATCTTTAGTATGGGTGTGTTGGGATCCATGGTTCAACTGTGAAAAAGCTGACATTATTAGATAAAAGTACTACCCCTGGGCCCTGTCCTAGATTCCCATTCTTCAAGAGATTATGTTGGTTTTGCTCAACGTGACTTAGATTCCTCGAGTTAGGATTATGAAAGCCATGGAGCCACAATGCCGAAATAGGATGCGTTCGCATATAGGTGAGCATCTGACAGTTGAGAAGTGAGAATCAATGTCTTTTGTTTTCCGCACTGTAGGAGTCATGACTCATGAGTAGTTGTTGAAAGAGGTTTTCTACAGCACCAGAAGAACCTTTAGATGCTCGAGAATCTACATCGCCCTGAACCGGTCCTTTGAGATTTTACTCTGGTGTAATTTTAATACGATAGTTGTCTGTCCTGACTCCTGGGTCCTGGCCATAAGATGTCACTGCTAAGTATGCTTGACAGAGTTGGTCATATTCCAGCTTTGGATATCAGGAAGCAAATCCTCCATGTGCTACCATTCCAAGTTACTTTGCCACTCTTACAGTGTTTCGTAGATCAAATTGTAGCGAGTGTAATATCTTTTGGGGATTGCTATTCTTTGCCCTAACTTTCATTAAAATGACTTAAATACTCTGAATTGACCATCACTACTTCGCCCCCACCCACCGCACCGCCACCATTAATCGATTTGCCTCTTCAAGACAGCGATTTGATGCCGCTTGAACTCATTCACTGTCGTGCCAGTTAAATTCCCTTTTCACTTTTCCCTGCAAATTAGTTATATTTTCAGATAATCGTAAGTAGTTAACTACTGCATAAATTGGAATGGTAATTGTTGGCTTCTGAAGTTAGCTTCGAATAGTTTTGGAAAAAATCATGGGCATTGGCGTGTTGCCTTTGAATGGCTGGGAATTTGTAATTTCAATATGTGTGTTTTGGCAGATCTTCATTGATTGATTCTGCAATGAAATGAACGCTAGGTTGGATGATAAGAAGTCGAAAATTGATTGATCTTTGGTGCCCCTTTGTGTTTGCAATCTGTCTGTTCTTGAATGAATGCTAGAAATCAACGAATGAAATTGCCTGTGTTGGAAAAAAAAAAAAAAAACAGCAGCAGCGGATCGATGGGCGGCTGGGCTGGGGAACGACAGCGGCTGACTAAATATAAGTTAAATATAACTATAACCATTAAACTCTACCTCATGCTTCTTCTTTCTCCTTCCTCAGCAACAGCAGGTTGGCGGAGTGGGGGAATGGGAGCGGCGGCAGGTTGGGGGAACGAAAGCGGTGGTCGGACGGTTGGTGGTCTGGACGACAATCCGAGTTAGCTATTAGTGATTGAAATTGGGTATAGGGGTATGAATGTTAATTTAGTACTATTTAGGGTGTTATAATTCAAATTATAGGGCGACGAATAGCGATTCATTATTTTTTGAGGATAAGGTGTGGCGAGTGTAATATTACTGGACTAGGCAGAAAAAGGTAAATTACAAGTTTGGTCACTAGAATTACTAAAAAGTTTCATGTTTGCCACTAAAATTATTTTATTTCATTTGTAGTCATTCAAATCAGTTACACCGTTCAAGTTTGGTGACTCTCCGTCCAACTCCGTTAACTTTGTTTGATGTGGCAATCAACTCTTATAGTTGATTATTAAATGTGTGATGTGGAGCCATTAAAAATAATAAATTAACATTTTAAAGTTTCCACCTAATTATCATATTAATTAAAAAATAAAAAATTTCTTTCTTCTAATCCTCATATGTTCGACCCAACCCCTCTCTCCTATACACGAGAAAAACCCTCAACCCCTTAGCCTCCCCCGTCGACCTCCCACTCGCCGTCGCCACCACCACCAAGTCTGGTGAACTCCCTTATATAAGTACTGATTTCTTATACTATATATTGCCATTCATAAAAAAAAATAAATAAATTATGCTATCAATAATCTCAATACAACCAAGTAATAAGGTATCACAAACATTAACCATCACGTCGAAAGTTTGTACATGACCGTCTCTATTTTCTCTATTTTTTTTTTTTTGTAGAAATATTTTCTCTTCTTTGAAACGCATAGAATTCGTTTTCTTAATCTCTCTCTATTTAACTAAATAAACCCAATTTCCATCAGAACGCACCAGTCCGTTCTAAATTGGCTGTAAAGAATTTGACATTTTTTCAAAACAATGGCAAAGAAATTGAATTTTGTGATAGTCCAGTCCAATACAATATACATACGTGAAGGGCTTAACAAAACTAGGGGTGGTCAAACGGAAGAAAGTCAAAAGCCGATATCTGGATTCTCATGAGCTGTCCACAATCCTCCCTCCTTCTAGTCCTTCTTTGTACCGACTGCTTCAATCAAAATCGCCTCGTTTGACATTCTAAACACTTTACACCACCGCCAGCCACATATGAAGATGGATGATAAGGAATGCTAATTACACAGTTAGATAAAACGTGTTAATCATATCTCAATGGCAGATGCAATTCATATCGAGGTGAGTCATTTGCATATTGGTTGTTTGAAAGAATCCACAAAAATCAAGTATAATAGGTTGTTGAGAGTAAGAAGTGAACTAAGAACTCCCTAATTCAAGACTAACTTTCGACCAAACGTAGTTGAATTTCTAGCTACATTACTGGCACCACGGGTAATTTAGGAGCAAGATTTCTTGTGATCAAGAAGTCTCTTTTACTATTGAAGGAGAAAATTAATTATTTGTCTCATCATTATTAATGGAGATAATCTATAGTATCATTTATAACTGAAAAGTAAAACTGCCCACCCCATTCAAATTTTCCTATTCGTAGAGTGATTTGAGGAAGCTGATGTGGCAGCCCATATAGGCGGGTTTTTTTTTATCTTCTCCTATACACTGAAAACTACTCCCTCTCTCTACCTTTCTGGCGATTTTCCTATTTTCTCCGCAGGTTGTTTTGTCTGTCGCAAAACCAATTTCTAACTTCCTTTTCTGGTACTCTGGATCCAAGCTGTGCAAAACCAATTTCTCCATCTGTCAACGGGGTCTCCAAACCTGGCGTGTATCAGGTTAGTCCTGGCGGAACTTGATTTCGACGGCGGCGAGGAAAGTAGGAGGGGGCAGTGAAAGGATAAGGGAGACGGAGAGGCGACACAAAGAGAGGGTTAGGGAGACTGACGCACCTCTTCCGTAGTCCCACCTGCTGACTCGGGGGATGAATCACTGGCGGGAGTCTGCATTGAGGACGAGCCGCTTCATGACCTTCGAAGTAGCCTTTTATCAAATGGTTAGTGTCCCTCTATCTACGCCTGTATTAGGGTTTTGTTCGATTATATGACATCCAAACCTTATTGATAACCTATCTAATTAACATGTAGACTCCACATATGTTCTTGTGAATTTTACATAAGTCGGCAGCAACCAAGCAAGCAAAACCCAGTCTTAATCAACTTATTATCGAGAGTGATTAATGATATAAACAACTACCTTTCATTTGGGAGGCTTCTCAGCCGACTGATTCTGTTGTTCGTGGTGCTGGGCAGAGAACGAAGGGCCTGCCGCGCCATTGCTGACTGCCAATTAATTGCCTTCACTTGCTGTTATGATTTAAAAGAATATATATGATTGCTTGGTCCTGTGTGTAGTATGTTGTTGAGTAATTTCCCCATTTCACTGTGGCAGGACTGAACCAAAACTTCATTGGATTCACGTAATATAAGCAAGGTCTTTCATTGTACGTTCGTTTTGGTTTGATGCTATCAGCTCTACTATTGTATCATTAAAATGATTTGATTCTTTGCTCCGTGGGTAAATTATTAGAAAATTACTCGATCATGATTAATAATGTAGATCTTTGTTTTTATGAATAAAAATGGAGGTTAATTTATATATAATTTCTTCCCATATCTTTTCATCATAAAAAACACAATAAGATTTCACAAAGCCTGGATAATAAGGACTTCAGAAGCTTTGTGGTGTATGGTTACACATGAACATGGGTGAGGGTTGAACATATTCTCTTTATATATTAGTTGTTTCTGGGTTTTGACAGAATTATTGGCTTGACATGTGAGCTTTGTTTGGATTATAGGTTAATTTTAATTTGTTTCTCATGGATTCAACAAAGTTAAGGACACAGTTGGCGCCAACAAGCTTTGATATTAATGCTTATGTTTCTATTATGCATGGTTCGTGGTTGATTTGCTTATAACAGTGAGGGTGGTCTCCATTAAAGTTGTTTCTTGCATTTCTACTTTTCCTTCTTTGTCGGATTCAAATTTCCTTATATTGATTAGTTTGACATAATATGTCAGCCCAAATCAGAGGACAAGGAAGCAGAGGTAACAACACAAGACCGGTTCCGGTTGGGTATAGTGGAGTTCAAACATCAAACTGAAATCGACAGTCATTCATGGTATTGATCGATGTTGTTTCATCTCTTTACCTTTATCTTTAGTTCATTTTGCCTCCTCAAGGTTGCTCCCTAATGTGTTAGGCCTCCTTAGGACGTCGAGATTCTTGATTGATGTCATAGAGCCTCCATTATAAATTGATCGAGCCTGCCAGTTTATCTGTCTCCTTATGCAGCTATATAAATTGTGAGATGTATTTTGCTGCAACTAATAACTACAATGTGATTACTTAAACTCCTTATTTTCAGTTGTAACTTATAGTTTGAAAACTTTAATTGGGTTTCTTAATCATTACTTGGGCACTGGTTCCTTTTCCTTTGGCGGTGTCATTTCCTTACGGTTTCTTTTGCCATAATTTGTGTTTGTTTACTTTTGTTTTAGATGTTAACTCGGATTGCCATAAATGGACTAATTTTTTAGAAGAAATCCCCCCAAAGGCGATCCATCGGTGTTTCTAAGGCCACAACTACAACACTTTAATCGTATCTCAACATGAGTTCCCAGTAGAATGCATCTATTTGGTCATGTAGTTACAGTGGAATGACAATGACGAATTGCTAATAGCTTGGAGAGAAGCTAAAACCAGATACCCTTGGATTGATGCTATCAAAATTGCAGCAGACCAATTGAGCTAAAACTACTGGCCTACTATTTTTTCCATGAATTCTTAGAGCTAAGCTACCTGGCATCTACCAAGATTTTCCTATACTTAGTGTGCATCACCTACTGTTGAATACATAATTAAGCATACATCTCTATCCCCACTATATTTCCAGTTAGGTTTCCCTTTTCAATCCTACCATTTTCTTGCCTTGCATCAGTTCTCTTCCATTAGAAGCTTGATTATTTTATCTGG